CACTCTAGATAGAGAACTCTCACTCTAGATAGAGAACTCTCACTCTAGATAGAGAACTCTCACTCTAGATAGAGAACTCTCACTCTAGATAGAGAACTCTCACTCTAGATAGAGAACTCTCACTCTAGATAGAGAACTCTCACTCTAGATAGAGAACTCTCACTCTAGATAGAGAACTCTCACTCTAGATAGAGAACTCTCACTCTAGATAGAGAACTCCCACTCTAGAAGCTCAAGACTAGAACGCTAGATAAAACTCCTCGTCTCTATTCTAGGTAACTCAGAAATAAGTGTGTCAAATTGTCCGAATATAGCGACATAAATAAATATTGCGACATAAATAAATATAGCGACATAAATAAATATAGCGACATAAATAAATATAGCGACATAAATAAATATAGCGACATAAACTCTACCCCGCAGCTCGACCAGAGAGCGGCCGTAGCACTGATACGCCCTGTGGCCGGTATACACTGGGTCAGGGTGACTCACACTGAAGGGAAAGCTGCATCACTATTGAGACAAAGTTCCACTCATTTCTTTGAGTGATATTACCAGAAAAATGGCCAAGAAAATATCCTCACTGAGAAAACTATGTGAGTTCTGTCTGTGTGTTGTGTGTGTTGATGACGCGATCGTTTGTCTTTTTTTATAAAAGTTCAATATTTTCATATAATATACCTATTACGCGAGGCTCGTAAGGGCTGGGGGAGGGAGGGGGAGAGTTGGCCGGCGATAACGCGACCATAACACGGCCATACATCGAGACAAGGAATAATATATTATGAATGACATAAATTGAAGCGAGACTGTCAATAATATATGTGCATTCTAAATAAATTTAATAGATTATAGTAGATTAGATAGATAATAGTACAGATTATCTAGATTATAGTAGTCCTAAATATTCTAATTGAACTATACGTGCGAAATATAAATATTGTATAATATAGCGACATAAATTAATTAATTAATTAAATATAGCGACATAAATTAATTAATTAATTAAATATAGCGACATAAATTCTACCCCGCAGCAGGAGCAGAGAGCGGCCGTAGCACTGATACGCCCTGTGGCCGGTATACACTGGGTCAGGGTGACTCACACTGAAGGGAAAGCTGTATCGCTAGTGAGACAAATGTCCACTCATTTCTTTGGGTGACATTAAAAAAAAATGGCCAAGAAAATCCCCTCACTCAGAAAACTACGTGAGTTCTGTCTGTGTGTTGTGTTGATGACGTGTTCGCTTGTCTCATTTTTCATAAAAGTTCAATATTTTCATATAATAAAGGTACCTATTTAGTTTATTTTTTCATATAATAAACTTGGGCTTCTCTGAATACTTATTACCTACCTAAATATATACTCACCTACATATTACTAATGTTAATCACCCACCCACTAATTACTCACGCTAATCACCTACTAATTACTCACGCTAATTACCCACTAATTACTCACGCTAATCACCCACTAATTACTCACGCTAATCACCTACAAATTACTCACGCTAATCACCTACTAATTACTCACGCTAATCACCTACTAATTACTCACGCTAATTGCCCACTAATTACTCACGCTAATCACCTACTAATTACTCACGCTAATTACCCACTAATTACTCACGCTAATCACCTACTAATTACTCACGCTAATCACCTACAAATTACTCACGCTAATTGCCCACTAATTACTCACGCTAATCACCTACTAATTACTCACGCTAATTACCCACTAATTACTCACGCTAATCACCTACTAATTACTCACGCTAATTACCCACTAATTACTCACGCTAATCACCCACTAATTACTCACGCTAATCACCTACAAATTACTCACGCTAATCACCCACTAATTACTCACGCTAACCACCCACTAATTACTCACGCTAACCACCCACTAATTACTCACGCTAACCACCCACTAATTACTCACGCTAACCACCCACTAATTACTCACGCTAACCACCCACTAATTACTCACGCTAACCACCCACTAATTACTCACGCTAACCACCCACTAATTACTCACGCTAACCACCCACTAATTACTCACGCTAACCACCCACTAATTACTCACGCTAACCACCCACTAATTACTCACGCTAACCACCCACTAATTACTCACGCTAACCACCCACTAATTACTCACGCTAACCACCCACTAATTACTCACGCTAACCACCCACTAATTACTCACGCTAACCACCCACTAATTACTCACGCTAACCACCCACTAATTACTCNGAGTTGGGAGAAGTTGGGGGAGTTGGGAGAAGTTGGGGGAAGTTAGGGGAGTTGGGAGAAGTTGGGGGAGTTGGGAGAAGTTGGGAGCTGCGTGCGCTATATAAGCCCGTGCTGCAAGAATTAAAGTATTTCATCATTGGGACAAAATTACCCATTATTTTTATTGATTTCAGAAAATTCCAACATGTCGCATCATGACGGTTTGTGATGATGGTCACTTTTGAAATTAATAATTTCGAAATTATCCAACTAATACAACTGGATTCAAATTAATACAGTTGAATTCAGATTAAAATAATTGAATTCAAATTAATACAGCTGAATTCTAACTGACGAGAGTATATGATTAGTAAACTATTTATAACCACACAATTTTATTATTAACGGCAATTGTATATGCGCTGTAGGCGTCAGATTAGAATATAATTATAATATTTTAATTTATACTCACAGTGAACGCATCATGGCTCACACATCAACACAAATCCGGACGACATAATGCATGAATATCAATAAAACTTATATATAAATAACAATCAATTCTTCATCAGGTAAGTAGGATTATTGTTAGAAGTTAGCACTCTATCATTTAATTTTATCATGTTAATCAAATATGATACTTTAATTACATAACTTTAATTATGTTACTTTATCATGTTACCAGCTCTAATCCTAACCCCACATTTCAACACTTTACAAAACGTTGATTAGATCAACAATAGACAGGAAAAATACAAGATATACAGCAACGTCTCGACAACAACACACAGATGACCTCTGTGTACACAAGGGTTCGTTGTTGTTTATCACACGGGTATACATCACACATGTGCGAGTAATATACATTTGAGTTATGTTACAGACCTACACATGCAGCGCAGGCCTGTGTTACAGACCTACACATGCAGCGCAGGCCTGTGTTACAGACCTACACATGCAGCGCAGGTCTGTGTTACAGACCTACACATGCAGCGCAGGCCTGTGTTACAGACCTACACATGCAGCGCAGGCCTGTGTTACAGACCTACACATGCAGCGCAGGCCTGTGTTACAGACCTACACATGCAGCGCAGGCCTGTGTTACAGACCTACACATGCAGCGCAGGCCTGTGTTACAGACCTACACATGCAGCGCAGGCCTGTGTTACAGACCTACACATGCAGCGCAGGCCTGTGTTACAGACCTACACATGCAGCGCAGGCCTGTGTTACAGACCTACACATGCAGCGCAGGCCTGTGTTACAGACCTACACATGCAGCGCAGGCCTGTGTTACAGACCTACACATGCAGCGCAGGCCTGTGTTACAGACCTACACATGCAGCGCAGGCCTGTGTTACAGACCTACACATGCAGCGCAGGCCTGTGTTACAGACCTACACATGCAGCGCAGGCCTGTGTTACAGACCTACACATGCAGCGCAGGCCTGTGTTACAGACCTACACATGCAGCGCAGGCCTGTGTTACAGACCTACACATGCAGCGCAGGCCTGTGTTACAGACCTACACATGCAGCGCAGGCCTGTGTTACAGACCTACACATGCAGCGCAGGCCTGTGTTACAGACCTACACATGCAGCGCAGGCCTGTGTTACAGACCTACACATGCAGCGCAGGCCTGTGTTACAGACCTACACATGCAGCGCAGGCCTGTGTTACAGACCTACACATGCAGCGCAGGCCTGTGTTACAGACCTACACATGCAGCGCAGGCCTGTGTTACAGACCTACACATGCAGCGCAGGCCTGTGTTACAGACCTACACATGCAGCGCAGGCCTGTGTTACAGACCTACACATGCAGCGCAGGCCTGTGTTACAGACCTACACATGCAGCGCAGGCCTGTGTTACAGACCTACACATGCAGCGCAGGCCTGTGTTACAGACCTACACATGCAGCGCAGGCCTGTGTTNCCCCGACACTCCAACACTCCAGCGCCCCGACACTCCAATACTCCAGCTCCCCACATTCAAAGAACATGTCAATTCACAAAATCTTCAATAAAAACGTATCGAGAACATCTGCGACAGTACAATATCGTAAAAGTAAAATTTAAACAATAAAAATTTAAACTTAGGTACAGGCCAAAGAAAAGAAGACCTTATCAATTAACAGTTTCAAGCAAAGACTATAACCATAAGCGTTGTAAGAACGTTCGTATTTCCGTATAAAAATATACATCGGTTACAAAATCCTTGAAACCAGAGCTGTAAAGATTACGTGTACTACCAGCAATTGTCACAATTCTTACATAGTTCAATATGTCCTCAATACGGGCGGACTGTAAATCATAGTATAACCTTAGTTTATAGACGAATTCAAGACTCCTCTTTTAAAAGAGTTGAAGCAAAGACACGTCTTGCACGAAGCAATTACACTTAACAAGCCTCGTTAAAGCGCAGGGCTCTGCCTCACCCTTGATGCTAATCATTATCAGTTCATAAACTTCGCCGCGCCGCTCTTGATTCTCAGTAAATTGTGAGGTGTAACGACCTGCGACCTGCAGCCGTGACCTGCGACCTGCAGCCGTGACCTGCGACCTGCAGCCGTGACCTGTAGGTCATGCAGTCGTGACCTGCGACCTGCAGCCGTGACCTGTAGGTCATGCAGTCGTGACCTGTGGGCAGGTGGTGTGAGAGGGCATGTGGCATGAGTGGGCAGGTGGTGTGAGAGGGCATGTGGTGTGAGTGGGCAGGTGGTGTGAGTGGGCAGATGGTGTGAGAGGGCAGGTGGTGTGAGTGGGCATGTGGCATGAGTGGGCACGTGGCATGAGTGGGCAGGTGGCATGAATAGGCAGGTGGCATGAGTGGGCATGTGGCAAGAGTGTGCATGTGGCATAAGTGGGCATGTGGCATGAGTGGGCAGAAGGCATGAGTGAGCAGGTGGCATGAGTGGGCAGGTGGCATGAATGGGCAGGTGGCATGAGTAGGCATGTGGCATGAGTGTGCATGTGGCATAAGTGGGCATGCGGCATGAGTGAGCAGGTGGCATGAGTGTGCATGTGGCATGAATAGGCAGGTGGCATGAGTGGGCATGTAGCATGAGTGGGCATGTGGCATGAGTGGGCACGTGGCATAAGTGGGCATGTGGCATGAGTGGGCATGTGGCATGAGTGTGCATGTGGCATGAGTGGGCAGGAGGCGCCGCTGCCAACAGATGATTCATCACGTCAAGTGTGCAGTTAGCACCACACTTTTTTCTAGTCAGTAGCTATTTAACTACAGTAAATGAATCAACTGAAGGAATTCCGTTCAAACTCGAGGCTTAAATTGCTGTGAATATCGAAAGGCCTGCATCACATTCACCAGTTAATAAAATATTCTATGATTAGAAAGAATATTATTATAGAATTAATTAGAATATTATTATAGAATGTTATCTATAATAATATTTCAAAATGGAAGGGATGAGTGACAGTTACAACAGGATTTCGTGTCTCAACACTCACCGAAACAACGTGGTTAATGGTACATCTTAGTCAGCAGCAAGTTAGTTGGTTAGGATATATGCATGAATACAAAAAATTATTTGTGTGAAACCAAAATAGAAATGGAAGAGACCAGAACCTCTAGTTTCATCTTGCTGCTCATGAAAACAGCTATGATTCTTAACAAAGCCAGATCAGCAGTATTAATAGACCTATAAGATTATTAGGTTTACTAGACTTTCAAAAGTTCAAAATATTCAATATCTTATCACAACTAAGACTTTCCTAAGTTGCTGAGCTACGACGCTCTTCTAAGTTCCAACCTTACCATGCCCAACGAAACTACATAATTTTACCTAAACTAGCCCATCGTAATGAAGCTTTCCTAAAACTAAATAATATTACCTATATTAATTTAATATTATTAATTGCCTATATTAATTCGCTTTACACGTCAAATAACCCCAACATAGCAGTGGGAATTAACCCATCCTCGCCGAAATTACCAAGCAAGCTTTGTCACTTTCTGACGACCCACGGCCGTATTGAAAAAATACTAACCCGAACTATTGGGTAACTTTGAAGACATTCTACTTCGTTATTGCGCATGACGATATATTCGGTAACATCTTTATGGTTAAGGAAAAAAATTAAAGTTGAGATTCGGTTTTGTAAATTTATTATATTTTTTAATAAATTATAATGGAATATGTAACGTTATCGGAAATACAGTAATGTGTATACCAAACAAGTCAAGCAGCAATTTTAATTACGCATATTAAAAAGAAAATATAGCAGAGGGAACATATCCATTGCCGAGTATTGAGAGAAAAAAAATTCTTATGCGGAGTGACCAAATTATCATTTATATGGGAAAATTTAGGAATTCTGTCACTTCTGTGAAGTGTTCACCTCAGAGCCGAGGTTGGAGCGTTCCGTGACATCACCTCACCTCACGACAACCTAACCAGAACTAAGGACCGCGGCAGAGCGCTGGCGCCGCCGCAGATGCGGCTGGCGTCTCGAGTCAAGCAGCGGCAAGACAAGGCGGAGACATCACACTTCCACAACACGAATATGCAAGCAGGATTAGTGGCTACAGCCGAGGGATTTAGGAAGGTTTGTGGCTGCAAACGAGGAGTCTAGGGGGATTTGTGGCTGCAGCCAAGTAATTCAGGAGGGTGTGTGGCAGCATCCGAGAATTTAGTAGGATATGCGGCTGCAGCCAAGGATTTTATGAGGATTTGTGACTAAAGCTAAGGATTTAAGGAGGATTTGTGGCTGAAACCAATGATTTTTTAAGATTTGTGGCTGCAACCGATGATTTAAGGATAATTTGTGACTAGCGCAGCAAGCACAGAGATGCAGAGCACACAGCTAGAGAGTACAGCAATCACAAAGCTTGAGATCACGGCTGGCACAGAGATGCTCGTGATCAGATGCGGCATAACATACTTGCGAGTGCGTGACTCCACTCGACTGTGCTTGAGTGCCAGTAGACATGTTTCAGTGACAGCGTCAACTCAAGCTTCCAAACTTTTTCACTTAGTCGCAAAATTTATAATGCCGGACTACAGATAATAACACACTAGTAATTAGTGCCCATCTGCCAGCGCAGGCTAGGCGCCGTGAACTGCTCTCGCAGTGGCTCTCCCTATGGACCCAGTCTGTTAATACCGTTTGGACATGTATATATGTAAGTGCGTGGCGTTAGCGTGGGCTACTGTGTGGACCATCTCGGTTCGGCAATCTCTATTCATTCGATTCGTCATCAACAATTATGAAATTGAATAAAATGGATTTAAATGCTCATTGCGCTGTAGCAATAATTTTTCAAATTTTTACTTCCTCCTGTTGTCAATTAAAACGGTATGTATTCTGTAATGGGCGAAAACAAGCGAATCCAGCTGATTCGACACGCTTTTTATTTCTGTAATTCGTAATTAATAATTATGAAATCAAATATATGGTTCTTAATGCCCATTGTCCTGTGGCGAAAACTTTTTGAAAATTTTACTTCTTACCGTTTTCGATTAAAACGTCTTACACACCTCTAATTCTGTGGCTGAACTTGCGGCCGGTCTCGCGGCCCATGGTTCAACTATATAAGGTTGACTGACGCACAAGGATTTGTAGTACCGACTACCGATACTGCAATCAGTGGTGCGCCAGGTGCGATGGAGAGTAGATGTGCATGAGCTGTTCTTCGAGCAGTTCTTCTGATGACTTTATTCGTGCGTATTGCGCTGTTGGAAAATGCTTATATGCCTTACACATCGTCCTATATGAGATGCGGTCCCCTTATATTATATTTAATATTGATTCCACAAATTTGCTGGGTTATCAGCTGCATTTTAATACTTCAAACGCAGGAATTTGGTTGATGTTTTTGAAGCGGTTATAAACTGCACGACCATGATTCACCACCACGACTTCTTTCGACTCATTTATAAAATTGATATTCAAATATGCATTAGAATGATTGGGTAATTTTTTGTTAAATGTTAGCATGATTTAAAATATACTAAAATATATTTATTACCATGCATTAGAACTCGCGTATTTCCGACATGTCAGTTTTGCTGCAAATAATTGACCTATTTTAGTAGTTGAGGGTGGCCCAGTGGTTACATTTCCTGGCCGCCAGTTCATCCGCCGCTTGAACTGTCCACGCTACTGTCCTCGTGTATAGGGGTTCAGCTGCTTCAGTGGCATGTGCCGGCATGAGTGGCATGTGCCGACTCGGGTCAACCAATTTCACGATGTCAAGACAACACCGACCGCACACGGTCAGTCAGCGGAACTGGAAGACAAGTAAGAAGTCATGTCCATAGAACCAGGGGCCGTATTATCAAAACTTCGTAACTTTTTGTACTTCCGACAAAAAAGTTACGTGTTACGTAAGTAAACCCTAATTTTGGCATTATCAAAACATTCGTACGTAAGGCTTAGCTAAAAGCGTACTATCAAAACCATCTGGTGGTATCGACTATCGAATGCTGTCTGTCGGTATTGCTCCATGTTGGCTCAGAAAAAGCCGTTCTAAAATAGTTGTGAACTCTTTTGTAATAAACAGCGTGAGTTGAAGAAGAAATCTGCGTACGGAGCTAAAAATTATGGTTGGCAGAGATATAAAGTACCGACTAGAAGGAATGAATGAGGAGAGTTGGGCGCGAAAGCTTTGCTTTCGCGCTTGTAAAATATAACCTAATATGCATTTGCTTGTAAAATATAACGTAAAAGGAAAGCAAAATCAGTTTCTGGCATTAACTCAATTGAATTTTTTTCCAATAGCACTGTTTAGCACGATCTACTTGATCGTGCAAATGTTGCACGATCAAGTAGTGGAGATATCACAAGTAGAGCCATCATTCTATGCGTGTATAATCCGCGCTGTCGGATTATTGACAAAATTCTATCACAAGTCATAGTGTTGCTACTTGCTAGTAAATTAATAGTTTCCTATCGCTTCAGCAGACACTATAAACTTGTGGGCAACTTCACTTACGACATCTCCGAGCAGGCGTACAGTTACGTTACTTATCTTCCCGCGCAAATGTTTTGATAATACCATCTCTAGGGAGCGCTGCCGTAGCCCAAAAATTTGACTCTTAAATCAGCCCAAGAGCCAATGCCAACCCTCTACATGCAATAGAAATAGTCAGCCTAAATCCTATGCAGCTGTTCTTACTTGCCTCATCTCGCCACACCAACTTGAAACAAGCAATGCATCAGCCCACAAGCTGATACTACAAACGGATTACGCCCAATAGCTCCTACACCAATGACTTAAGCCCATACCATCACTTATTACAAATGCCGTAAGCCACAGGGTCCGTAGACCGCACCAGACTGCCGTAAATGGGAACGGCCCCGCACCGGACTGTCACATCACCTTACCCACTTCGCAGGCGTAAGCCCAACCCTGACGCTCACCAGCATCTTCTTCCTCCACACTTACCCCCTTCTCTCCACCTTTCCACGAAAGGGTTAGGTTAGGTTAGGTTAGGTTAGGTTTGGTTAGAATTCTTCCGCTAGCTGGTACCGAAAGGAGGGGGAGCAGGGGGTAAGCGTGGAGGTTTAGCCTCCAGAAGAACGGACAGGCTGGAGAGGTAGCAGTGTACTGATAGCACTGTGGCGCAGGGCGTTCTTTATCGAAAGTGGTGAAGGGGCTAGGCTGCATGGAATAGAAATTTTGGCCCACGTTGACGTCACACGAGACATGCGCAGAACGGCGAAAAAATCGTCGTCGCCGTGGGTCAACCTTGTATTAATTCAACCATGGGCAGTACGTATTCTATATTTATTTCGGACTCGGAAGAGCTCGTGTTATGGTGGTGATTGGTGTTTGGTGACCCATTATTTTGTAAGCAGCATACGTGTGGGCTGCAAGCCGCTGGGGCGCCGAAAAAGTTTTTAAACAACTTCTCAAATTCTATTCGCCGAAAGTCTTCTTGTCACGAAATAATATGGTAATGATAGTTCTATATATTGACTTTTTAGTTCAATTTAAAAATTAATCAGCATCGAGTGAAGGATGAAAAAATTGAGTATGAGAATGAATTTCTTCAACTGACTCTCTGAGAATTAACTACCTACGCCTACGGTAGGCTATTGGTCTATTCACTCTATTGCTATGCAATGCATTAAAATTTTCCTTGACATTATAATAGGTATATACAATTCAATGCTCCTACAATATTAAAATAAAACTTTGAATAAAACTTTTCATAGCCCACTATGCAGAGGGTGGATGCAGCGTTGGCAATACATGGATTTTTAAGCCCAAAGCGTCGCCGGCCATTTTAAAGATGCGTCGCCGGGTAATTTTTAATGAAAAGCCATTTACGCTGAGTAATGATGAACTATTTACCTGTCTCTTATACACATCTGACAATGTACCTATCAGTNTTAAAATGCCTAGCAAATTACGGACCAGGCAATAAGTCCAGCAGCTATCTCAATCAATCGTCAGCTATGGAAAGATCGGGTTCCAAAGGCCGGATCCCTTGTAAATCAAGTCACGACAAGTTCAAGAATCGGCAACAGGCCATGGGCCTATTTCTTCAACGCCGACAATTCTATTCTATATGCCTCATCGGTCCTAACCCCCAGGGCTGCACTGTTCACCTTTGGAAGCCCCCTCACGGAAGAGGGAAAATCCAAGCTCGCCTACCCCACATCATTTGACGAAGGAATATCACCGTATACCGAGTGGGGAGTCTTGGTCCAACATTTTGGACCCCCTTCCCGCCCTGTCTCAGCTCACGCAAAATCGTCAATTTTCCACAGCTGTCAGCCCACCAGAAGAACCTATACCAAAAGCCTCTTTCACTGATCTCATTGCCAACTTTGTAAAATTACTTTTGTAAGATGTATGCACGCCCTATCTGAATACCTGTAAGGAAATCAGGACCAGAACTAGTGATCCTAGTGAAGCTTGGAAGATCAAAATCAGGGTTTCAGAGTTGTCCAGCCAATGGATCTACCGCTGCCTGAACGCAACCGAACCGTGACAATGGATGTAACTGAAACTCGATGGACTCTTAGACATGTATTTAATGTTACGGAACTAAATTAGAAAGGAAGGCCCAGATGCTGGTAGGGCTCCGGTATGCAGGTAAGGCCTAGGATGCAGGTTAAAGGCCCGATATGCAGGTAAGGCAACCTCAGAGCTAGAGCGCCAGGTAGGAGGATGATGAGGAGACAGTACGTGTTACTCGTGGTTGAGTAGCTCCTTGGTGGCCAGTAAGGAGGTCAATCTGCAGCAAGGAGCACGGGGGTGGAGCAATCACCCATATATTGTTATTCGCATTCAAATGGCAAGCATGTGATGAGGAGCCAAGGTTAGCATATTTAAAACTGACAAGGGAACCTAGTTGATTAGTCGAAAAAATTCTATCATGAGCGCTAATCTGGCCTAAGTGAATTCAGATTGACGTTAGAATTAAGCGTAACTGCCGCTTACCCGAGAGTGGAGACAAGAAGTGCGCGTTCTACCTCCCAAGAGTTCCAACGAGATAATAAATGACTAAGGCTACCTACTTGTACTAATTGGCTACGTAACTGCTGACGTGGCGCTGTGGACCAATGAAGATTGGCCGCTGTTGCCGTGCAGG